CGTAGTGATACTGCCTCGGAAACCCAAGGAGGGGTCGCTATGAGTCGGGGCCGACTCGATGGCACATAACAACAACAACAACAAGGCATAATTAATTGATTGATTGCCCATGTGGTTGATCTCAGTCTTCAGGCCCATGCCCTCAATCGCATGGTTGGACATTCTGGCACAGCCAGCACCCATCCTAAATCACATTGTTGCTCTCTGGCTAGCTCAAGGCCTATAGATTGCCTCCCAAGAGTTCAAGGGAAAGGCTAGACCTGTTTGGGGGCAAGGTTAAGTTCTTTGGTACACAGTAACTTTGTGGATTTAAAGAAAATCTGGGCCCGCCCTTTAGAAGTCCTTAGGCTACCACTGTAACAAGGTAAGACTAGACTAGGGAGAGAGTCTTGTAGTCTGTATCCATGTAAGTGTCCCTCTGCCCATGATGGCCATCTTGAGAGGCCCTACTTAATGTCATCATTGCCAATGCAAGGTGGATCTCCTCTTTTAGAATTGTGTTCAGATTCTTTTTAAGGCAAACACTGAACCAATGCTTGTCCCTTCATAATCACTTTACTTGTAACATGATAGGGACCAGGTGTATAAGTGTAAAGTGTATAAGTGTGTAAGTGATCACTTTCTTTCCTCTTTTAAAAATTTTTATTGTGATTTGGGTAAAAGTTTACAGAGCAAATTCATTTTCCATAGCAGTTCATACACATTTTGTTTCATGACATTGACTGAATTCTCCAGTGTAACAGCTCTCTTCCCACTTTCTCCCTATAGTTACCTCTTCAGCGTGTCCTTTTTTGCTGTGCATTCCTGCCCCCTGAGTTATCTCTCTGTGCACATACTCCCCTTCTGTTCTCCCATGATTGATCATTCTAAGGAGTGTATCTACCTGATGTAAATGTTCACCCTATGTGCCTATTGGCTTGTGCTTAGTCCCCGGGAGCGAGGTAAGCACGGGCGGGCTTGTGCTTGGTAACCAGGAGCGAGGTAAGCACGGGGGGGCTTGTGCATACTCACTGATCTGCACTGAACACTTTCCCTTGTTACCCTCCCGAGAGGGACCGGGT